ATTAAATCTTATATTCTGACTTCAAAGATTTAAAGACATTTTTAATACGTACATTATATTTGACATTGAGATTTTGGGACTCTTTTTAGCAGTCCAGTTATTGCGTTAAAAGAACACAATTGTTACCAATCTTTAAGTAATTCTATAAGTACTTGTCGTACTTTAATTCATATTCAGTCTAAAGCCATAAATTATTATTAGACTTTGAATTGTCGTTAAGACATTGAAAGTTTCTCTTTGAATATTCCTTAAATTTTATAAATATCTTTGAGTATTTCAAAAGTTCCATCAAAATGGTAACAATAGTAATCATGTGATATTAACGTGTTTTTATTGATTAATTATAAACTATACCTCAAAATTAAAATATTAAAACTTTAATTTGGTGATCTAGCCAGGATATGAAAATCAGAAAATTTTCTTTGTGTGATCTTATGTACAATACCAATAAAATTGGCTTTTTAAACTTTGAATCAGCATTTTGCATGATCAATTTCCAGTAATATACTATAGAGATGTACATGTATATATATATATATTAACTTGTTTTTTGTAAAAATAAAACATTAATTTTTGTTTTCTGATAATTCAAGTTTATTATAATATCTAAAATTTCATGCTAAATATTTTTATTTAAAAGCTAAAAAATAATTGCTTGTTTTGATAAATTTTTATATTATATAATTTTGTGATTTTATTGATTATAACTGGAAAAAGCTATTTTATTGAATAAAATATTACGTGTTCTAATTTTGATGATTATGCTGGGAGAGTTTGATTGGCCAGTTAGATCACGTTAGAATCATCAGGGTGGCGTCCAATAGAAATGTGTCAGGTTACGTGATCAGAGAAATTTTTTCGTCATAATTAGAACAATGTTATCATTTGAAAGCAAAATTAATATCGATATCAAAATGAAGTTTCGAATTGTCATAAAAGCCCAGTGAAAGCAAAATTGACAACTCTGGACTAGAATATTTGAGGTGGCTATTAAATGTGCGTAAATCACGTGAAAATATACGGACAAGTGGTATCACGTGCCTTAAGACATCATTTTCGATGACTATTTCGGTCTTTTAAAGTCTAACATTATATTATCCGATCTTGTAATGCAGCTATTTAGGTTCAAAAGTATAAAAAACAGACATACGTATCATCATCTAAGATGTCAGTTTATAATTCTAGTACAAAAACCAAAATACTGGAGTTATAAAACTGCCAACACTGATTACAATAAATTTGATTTTCTAATTGTAAATTACGTAAAGATCTACCAATTAATTCAAAAAATTAGAGCCACTAACAAAACCCACTCTCTTTTTGTCAATTAACAAGAGAAATCAATAAAATGGCTTCTCAAGTCAGACGAAATATTCCCTCTTTTTCAACTGTAACTTCCAGTTTTAAGTCATACATCAATTCATTACCGCTACTGACTACGATAATTGCGTTATTCTGTATTCTTATTTATATTGTTGATTCAATACAAACATATGCTGATAATTATTTGTTTAAATTGCTTGCTCTTGAGCCCAACGCATTTTTCAATTGGGAAGGTAAATATAACATTGTGCATTTACTGTATTCAAAGAGTGGTCTTTGTTTCATAAGAATTTTCGTGACTAATTAATTAAATCGTTGAATAATTAAACAGTATATCAACTTTTCACATTTCCATTTCCACATTTATCACTTGGACACATTTTATTTTGCCTGCTGGCGTTTGTGCCATTAAGTACGGCCATAGAACACACAATCGGAACACTGGAATATTGCTATGTTTTGATAACGATGTTCACATTATTACCAGGAGCGTTTTATTTGATTGGGTCGTTAATATTTAACTATAAGGATGTAAGGTTGGGTGGGTTAAGTACTTGGATTTTTGGTGTTGTGGTTTGGGAAAGTAGAGAATTGGCAGGACGAGAACGAGAGTGAGTGTTGGTCTTGTTTTTAATTGATCTATGCATCAATACTTAACTTCAATTATACTTTCTTTCTAGTATCTTTGGAATAATCAGAGTTCCTGCACATTTTTATCCACTTGTTTTGTTACTATTAATGGAAATTTTCTTTCCGCGAAAATGGTTCGCAGGTCATGTGTGTGGACTGATTTCAGGATATCTTTGTAAGTTTATTTCTTTTTCCCTATTTGAGCATAGAACAACTAGCATAAACAATTATGATTCTCTAGATTCTTTCGGATACCTCTCGAAAATTTTACCCCCCTCTGGATACTTTGTCAATCTTGAATCGAAATCCATAATTCAACGAATATCACAAATTCGTGGGTTTGTCAAAGCCGAAGAGGGAAGTCGAGGTGGATGGTGGCTACCACTTTGGAATGATGATGAGGTATTGGAAGATGCTATACATCCGCCTGGAGAAGTATTAAATCAGATTCCTAATACGACGGATGCTGCTGCCTCTACTACTAGAACATCAACGTCAGTACCATCTACATGATCGATTCCCTTGAAAATTTCAATGAAATAAATGAACCAAAACAAAATGTCTGTTGTTTTATTTATATTTTAGAATTCCAACCACCAATATAACAACAACTAATACGAATACATCACCACCACCACCTCCAATATCTACCTCTACTATCTTTGTGGTACCCTCCTCTAATTCATCAAGTCGATCTACGTCACCAATTTCACCAATTACCGCCACCACCACTACCACAACTACCGCCATCAATGACCCACCCTCTCTGATAAATCAAGCCAAACAGGTGACGGAGGTTAATAGTACAAATCCGAATATTAAAGTGCCAGAGGAACAAGATTTGCTTGATACTCGTTGATGCATGTTACTTGTAGAATGTTATTATTTTTTGTTTTTTTCTTCTCTGTGATATTATATATGTATATATATTTTTTAATTTCTAATAAAATTATGTAAAATTTTGATAATGACATAAAGATCAATGGTATGCATTAAATAATATAGATCTGCAAGATCTAATGTAAGTATGATTTTTTTTTATCAAACAAAATTGTTAAAGACGATGTTGCGACGTTTTCCCGTAAATCAAATCTTTTTACAAAAGCCTTATTATACATTATCAAAAATCTATAATAAAAGAATTCTCAACTCTATTATATTTCCTTGTTTTTCTACTTCTCTGCATTCATTAACGTTTAACAAAGTAATCCATCAGTCAAATTTTCGAAAAGTAGCATTTTTGAACACTAACATAAGTACAAGAAAAAGCATTTTACGCAATACAACAAATACTTCTAAACATTATTATAATAGGAGTAAACCAACAATAATAAGGCCAATACTATTCTCGATAGTAGTATCAGGTACAATACTCTCTGCAGCAGTATTGGCCGAGGATTATCGTCGTGACACATGGCGAAAACAGCTACAACGTTGGACAGGAAAATGGAACCCTTCTGACGATGATTGGCAACGTTATCGCATTTGGCTCATGGAAAATACACTGTTTCGACACTTGAAACGTTTACAAGACTATAAAGTACCTGATGAAACTTTACGTTTATACACGTTTCTATATCATCAATGGAACTCGTTATCTGAGAGTCAGAAAACTATTTCGGGGATTATAGCGATTAATGCCGTGGTTTTTCTAATGTGGCAAATACCAATTCTCTTCCCTTTCATGAATCGATATTTTTCACATAACCCATTATCGGGATACTCAATAACGCTGTTAACCTCAGTGTTTAGTCACAAGGCATTCTGGCATGTCGGGTTGAACATGATGGCACTTTACTCTCTTGGCGGGGTAGTGCATAATTTGCTTCAACGTGAACAATTTCTGGCGTTTTACTTGACATCTGGGATTTTTTCATCGCTGATTAGTCATATATTCTCGTTGACATATATTCCGCGTGCGAAAATCATTCCTTCTATAGGTGCATCTGGGGCGATTTTTGCTTGTTTGAGTGGGTGCGCGGTATTGTATCCTGACGCTTCGGTCTATGTTCTTTTCTTTCCTTTTTTCCCGATAAAGCTCAGTTATGCGCTTCCCATGATAATGGGACTCGATTTGTTGGGAATTTTGAAGGGATGGATGATGTTTGATCACTATGTGAGTATCAATTCCATGATTATTTTCGATGTTTTACTTTACTAGTCAATAATTATTTGTGATTCTTCGTTTTAGGCTCATTTGGCGGGTGCAATATTTGGAATTGGTTATGTGAAGTACGGGAAAGAGTATATTTGGCACCCTATTCAGAAATACCTAATTACCTGAACAAACACCGCCACCTAAAAAAATTTCTTATAATTCGGCCGGCATCAACAACATTCTGGCATAATTCCAATCCCTAAGGATTATTGTAATATCAGTTTCGCAGATCATAATCAACGCGACTTTTTTGGCAAATTTTAATATCGGATCGGTGATATGAAACATCCTTGTTGTACAATATGCCTTTTATTGTAAAACGATCGTACATGCCTAAAATGATATTTGATATTACACAGCAGCGATTTGCAAGTTGTATAGTTAATTTCAGATTTATATCGATATATGATAAAGTTCTTTGATTTGTATATAAGTTATATAGAAGAATAAATAAATACATCGTCATGTAAAAAAACTCCACAAAAATTTCTGTTCGATCTTCTTGCAGACTCGAACTCCTACTTATATTATCGAGTCAATCGTCAGAGGCAGGATTAAGAATCACTATTATTATTGTTATGCGAGTAATGTATAATCCGGCGGAGCCAAAATTCCATTCAATAATAGAACTACTCCGATCAGAACGCTAAGCGCAGCCGATATTATGGAAAATATAAACGAAAAATCATATTTCGTCCCGTAATAGAACCGGCTACTAGTATAAAATATGTGCGAGATCAAACCAATTGCCAGAAATTGGAAGCAGGCTATATTTTTATTTGAAATTCATTTGTAAAGAATAAACCATTAGTAAGAAATGGTATACCATAAAATCAATAATGATAATATAGGTAACGTATGTAAGTAAATACGCACAATGAAAGACCATCAACATCGACAAAGAAGTCCATAAGTTTTCACGGCGTCTTCTGCCACCTATTAACGCGACTAACAAAAAGAACCACGTTGCTCCACCAATAATCACCGCAAAGAGCATAGCAAATCCGGCGACTGTCCACTGTTCACAGAAATTTGCTTCATCACAGTCACCATCTCTTCTGGATGGGAATGGATGACATTCCGTTGTTAACGCTGAACATTTCTTTAGATTTTTGAGTCGAAAAAATATTAAATAAATAAGATAGAGTAGAAAATGAAAAGATATATATAAAAGACTGCCAGCCGCGTTTATTTACCCTAAATAAACCATAATTGATCCTGAGCCAAGGTTTGACATCAAATACTAACCTATAATGCAAATGATTTAGCTTGTATAATACAACTAGATCACTCGTAAGTAATAATAATAAAGTATTAGCCACTCACCAATTTGGTAATATTAACGCTAGTATTGTAAGAAAATATGTGATGGTGAAGGCCAGTGAAACCAGCGCAAATGTAGTCAATGAAGGCATATTGCTATTAGAAATTGTATGCTTGATATTATCGTTATCGTTATTGTATGATGGCGCAACAAATGGAAATAAACCCCGTGCATAGGAGTTGATGCTAACTTTGATTTAGCGCTAGATCATAAAAGTTTTAAAGTTTCAAAGATAATGATAAGCATAGAAAAATGGCAGGTTCCTGATTTGGAGGATGCATGCGGTATTATGTTGTCAATGTCTGAATCACGCGCAAGTGCACATTCACTTCTACTTTTTTAAAAGAGTATAAACTGACTTTACAAGAATAGAACTTGTCATAAAAGAAAGATTAATAAAACACTTTCGGTGAAATTCATTCATCTTTTATTGTAATGTGTTTGGCAGAGAAAGATGATTTGCAAGCCAGATTATTTTTTGAAGTGTGGGAATTTTGATTGACATAACCTTTGAGTGAATTTTCCGGTTACGCCCCGTCTCTGCACTGATATATACAAATTGGTCCCTTTTGCAAGAATTGAGAAGAAATAACAAATATATATACAAAATACTAAAATACTTTTAACTAAATCTAAAGAGAAATAGAATATTAATAATATCTATATAGTAAAAATTTTGTGCCAGATTATTACTTTAATCCTTCACTGAAATGTCTATTGGGTAATAAACAATAAATCAATATATATGAAAGAGACTACCCGACTTCCAATTCTGATCAATTATATATTTGTAGAGATGATTCCATTTTTCCCAATCCTTTAAATAACTAAATATAAATTTTCCCGAGTAGAGTAATCCTTTTATCGATCACACATAGAATCTCTGTTGTCGTCGTCGTCGCTTGAATATTCTTGATAATATAACTCATTTTCATACATCATCGACCTTTCGTAGCAAGTACATCGACCAGCACGACGACATTCCGGGCGCCACATTGCTCCACACATTTTTTTTCGCGGATATGTTGTTATTTGACAATCAGAATCACCTTCAGAATCAAGTTCGTCGTCCGCGTTATCCCCGTCAGAAGTATCAGAAAGTTGATATTCAGATGATGAAGCAGGTGAAGAAGAAAATGATGAAAGTTCGCTCTCGTTATGCGGATTATTGTGGCGGTTTCCATTCATTAATATTAACGAGTTTTTGTTGACGTTTTCGTTATTCATGATTTTGTGAGTCGCATAATCGGCGAGTTCTACTTCTTCCACGCATAACCTTGTGCACGGAGACATATTACCGTCTGGGTTGTTGGGTGAATTGGTTGACGGGAAACTAGTAAAAAGTAATTCCCATTCGACAGAGTTTTCTCTTTCGTGTGCGCCGCTTTTTGGCCATCTTGGTCTTTTATTTTGTGTTTTAGTCGCGTTCGAATTCACCACCTCTTGCAGGTTTCTTTTGGTCGACATTTTAAAAAGTTTTGGGTTTCTCTTTTGTAAAAGTTGTCGCACTGTGTTATGAATCTCGAAGTTTGTTTTTTTAATGGTTCAAGTATTGCAGTTAATTTACTTGAAAAAGTTTTTTTCTCTTGACAGAATTAATGGGCCAAGAATTTATTGGCACAATGAAAATTTTTGAATGCTTTTCTTTTTTTTGAAGAAAGACGTGTCTTTTTTCCTTTTAATAATAATTGCCAAAGAAAAAAGGTGAGAATTCGAACTAATCAGCCAAAGGTGGTGTGCTTTTTTATTGAGTGTGCGATCTTCATCTTTTTACTCGCAATATCAGTACGTAATATTATAGCCCAGCAAGACTGCGTAAAAGGGTATAAAAATGTTGATTTGGGGTGAAGGATAACGAAATAGTATCCCTTTATAGGGTGGGACCCTTGTTTTCTTTCAGATTATCAAGAATCGTACATATGATATAGTTTTTTCTTTGCGCGCGTCTCTTTTTAATCGAGTTTCGACGCGTTTTTCGTGTCACTCGCGCAAGAAAACATGATATGTTTAATAAAATCTCTTTATTTCTACCTAATTTATTTATTTGAAAGTCTTTCGGTCAGACACCACCTTTCCTGGAAGTCTGAGGGAGGGAAAGTCCTATTTTCACTATTAACGAGAATTTAGATTGAAATATCTTTTATTATCCTTGAATAAAAACAAAATTGGTGTAAATCATCTATTAATTATTATTAATCTATTAATTGTTGGTCATTATTAATCTTTTCTTATCATTTTCCAAAATATAAAAACAAAACATTCGAACTAGCATTAAATCCGAACAAAGAAATTAAATAAAGTACAAGAAATATCGCAACCGGGTATAAAAACATTTCAGTATGTAAAAGAAATGGTAACGCTAAGACAAAAAAAAAACAATGAAGAATTAAAAAACATGCACAAATCAAGATCAAGTGAACGCGTAACGAGGAATCAAAGAAAACATACCATTATATCCAAGAAACGTGATATAACAATAATAACTACAAGCTACCAAGTAGATCGTGTTCCCCAGGAACAGACACACCCAATTATCTCGAATCAGTATTGGCATTAGGAAAAATTGAATAACGTATAATAGTAAGAAAAGAGGAAAGAATGAGTTGCAGTGCACATCGAATCCATATGCCCATTCTACTGTTTGTTCGACCGCGTGTATTGTGTGTCGATGCGTTAGAAATCTATTTGCAAATGCCCTGAAATCACAAATTATCAATTTTGACTATTATTTCGTTGATCCGATGAAAAAGAATTTTATGAATATTTGATTATAAGTAAAAATAATATTTACCAACAAATTGTAGATATACAAATGCCTACTACGACGAAATCAACAAACACCATAAATGTCATCATCTTTAATATCCCAATAAATCCATGCCCGTATACTATGCCCCATGCAATCGCTGACACTTATAAAAAAAGAACCCAGATTATATTAATTCTATTATAGGAATTAAATCCCTACAGTAGTCTACAAAAAAGCGTGGGTATTTCTTTATTCGCACTTACCACAAAGAAAGAATGATAGGATCACTACAAATGCTGGATCATCTCGTGCCCATTGATTTTTGGTTTCTAAAAGAAAGTACAAATAATTAATAATAATTCAAGATCAAACTCCAAAAAAATTTCGAATCTTACGCTTATGATAATATATATTTCGATATCTGGAAATGAGATGCGAAATAAATTGATTATTTGTATCAAGCAAAATTTAACAAATGGTTGAGTTCACCTACACTCTTTTGGGAGCTATGCATAAATAAAGCATTTGCCAAAAAGCAAACTCGAAATCCTATTCGTAAATCCCGAGCAAAAAGAGTTCAGAGAGCTACCAGAAAATGACATAGCAAACAAATTATAGCTGAAAATGCAAAAAAAAAGAAAACACTCACTACCATTTGCGGAAACCGAAATAAGCGCCTTAAAAAAACAGGAATTGATGCAGCCCAGTAAGTGGCCCGTTTTCGGTTATAGTTGTAGTCATCGCCAAAAGGAGAACGCATTGTGGTAGCTGTTGTTGGTAATAATGGCATACCTTTCAAAAAGTTTTATTTGTGCATTCGTCAAACTTTTATTTTTCTAACGGTGGCTTATTATTATTCGGTCTTACACAAACAAAACATAAGTCACGATGGACACCATTTTCGTTGCTTTTTGTACAGGGGGATTCAAATTGGAATGTTATAAAATCACGTGATAACTATAATATCGATTTAACAACCAAAAAAATTTAAAAAATTTAATATAATACCACTTGGTCACATGCTCTAGCCAGAATTATATGTTTCAAATTGTCAATTTAATAACTATCAATATGGAAAAATTACGAGTACTTTATAATGATTATCGTGTGCAATTGAAAACATTTTTTTGGCAGGTCATATACTCATCAATTGCCTCCAGATTGGTAATTTTGATTTATTAATAAATGTCCATAATTCGGAATAATCTACATGATAAATTTGTTTGTTACCAAAGTTAAAAAACATCGACTTTCGGCCAAAAATTAATATTACCAGGAAAATCATGCTAATCTAATTTTTTTGGCCTTCAAATATTAGATTTCTAAGAATACTAGTGTTAAACCAGAAAATACTTTGATAAAGCCTCTTAACTAATATGAAATTTTTTACTTGTAAGATTTTCAAATAAAGTATAATAAAATATATAAATTATGAATTAATATTCCTCTTTAAATCAAATCTGATAAAACATAAATTTTGATAAATAATATAGTTTCAAAATAAACGTCATTTATCCAATCCTAATATGAAAAGTTTTCTAATACTAAAAATATAAAATTACAAAGTCCATTGTAAATGATTGGAACAGTTAAACTTCTCCCTCAGTTAATCTACTTTCATCTTTTACGCCCAACACCTGGTGGTGGCGGCGGAGCACGTTGTGGATTTGCTTGTATGGATAGTGAAGATAATTCTAATGGGATTGCTATTATAATTTGAAAAAATAGTTAATTAAGATATCACCAATGTCATTGAATCTTAGTAAAATCAAGCATAAATTATTAACATACAACTTCCTGAAGAAGCACCAGATGGATATAATTTTTCAGAATTAATGAAAGGACGAGGGGCAGGAAAATCAGAAGATGGATGAAAAGACCATCGTCCTTCTGTTGTTGGGGGTTCTTGTGGCGCAAATGCTACAGCTTTTTAAATGAAGTAATTAGTGAAAGTCGAATTATGAATATGGTAATCAATGTTAAAAAAATGAACAATACATTGTATAAGTTGACCCAATGGATTTCGAGGAATATTGTGTGTTCCGTTGGTCGGTAAAACTGCTGTTAATGATCGCTGGTTATCGATTATATTAGTAGGTAATACTTGACGAGGTTTTTGAGGTTGTGGTGATTGCGATCTTTGTATAGGCTGTGAATTTCGATTGGGTGGAGGAGGTGCATTTGGCTTGTTAACAGTATTATTATTTATATTACCAACAGTAGTGGATGGACGAGCTGGAGGAGGAGGAGGAGGTTTTTTGCCAATAGGTGGAGGTAAAGTTTTTGTTCCTTTGGGAGGCGGTGATTGTGTATTATTTCGATTTGGTAACGGCGGTGGTGGTGAACTATTATTATTAGCATTATTATTCCTAGTGTTATTGCCGTTATTATTGTTGTTGCGTGATGGTAAAGGAGGTTTTGATCCATTTTGATTTGGTATTGGCGGTACAGCTCTTCCAGAATTTCCAGGTGTTGACCGTTGCGGTATTGGTGGTGGTGCAGGTGAGCTATTATTATTATTATTGTTATTATTATTATTACTCCTTGGAAGTGTATTTGGATTGCTTCTGTTCGGTAAAGTAGGTGGTTGCGTATTAATTGATGGAACACTTCGAGCTACGTTTGATCGATTCGTTGAATTAACAGCACTTGTTGCTCTTGGACGTGCACCTGGTAGTTCGGGTGGCACTGCCAAAGCTAAATGATATACATTAATCTCAGTAATATTCTTAAAACTATATAATTATAATACAAAGTTACAAATAATTTAAATACCCTTATTGTTCTCTCTGCCGGTTCCAATACCACCCCTACTCTTAAGCGTTGGAACGCCGCCTGCAAATAAGCCACCTAGACCAACTGGGGTCTCAATATTCCCTCCACCCCTCGAGGATCCAGACGCACTTGATGACCTTCCTCTATTCGCCCCTATTGTACCTCCGGCGCTCTTTTTTACTAAATAACCAATTATCAAAGTTAGTATGATTTGAAAAAACTAAATTTCGGAGAAAGCATTTTTTAGAAGACAAACCACATGAAATGCTGAAACAAACAAGAATTTCTTGTAAATTAAAGTTTATTTCTTTTGAAAGTTCTTACCATCTATAACAGGGGCAGATCTGTCGTTTGTGACTGCCTTCTTCAACCTCGCTCCTTTTTGTATGTCGGCTAGTAATGCCCCGCGACCTCCCGACGAACTACTGACTGGTGGTGGCGGAGGTGGTGGTGGTGCTGGCATGATTTTATTTGGTTATTTTTCAAGTTTTCTTAATTTAATAATAGAACAAAGTTGTTATTTACTACCAATACAGAAATTATTTATGGATATATATATTTTTAATCATCTGATTGACATTTTTCACAGCCATCTGCTGCGTGTACTTGGCATCACTTCAATTATCTCAATTATTTATTTATTGTCGAACAGATACAAATTTGAATTACGTCATTTTAAAACAGCTTTTCTTGGTCAATGCCGTCTCAACAATTACCAAACACGATCGAAGATCTGCTTAACTCGTTTTCTCACACTGATGCAACTTCAGACCAAGTTACAAAACAGTTACTTCCCATTCTTCGACAACTACCAAGTACTTTTTTCACGCAATGGATTGGCGATCATAGAGACCCTCTAGATTCATTGAATGTTACTCGTAATAGCTTGGTTTATGCATATATTCTGTGCGTATCATGTTTTTTTATTAATGATTTATTTTTGATTTAGGAGTAAAGTATAATTTTTGATTATTCTTCTTTAAATTTTAGGGACGCGAGATGTCGTGTTGATAGACCTGAAGTCCCTCGCTTGTTGAGCCGCATCTTTGAATTTCTGGACAAATTTGACCAACAACAAATGCAGCATGCACCTGAAAAGTGTACGTTAAGTCCTAGAATGGTTGATTCGATAACAATTACAAAAAATACTAAAACTTGATCCCAGTACTAGCAATTGCGCAAGATCTTAGCAAGTTGGCTACCCAGTTCGGAAATGTGAGGCGAGAATCCTGTTCATCTTAGAATATTTGTTAGAAAAAAATTGATCGCTGATCGTGCTCATTAATTTAGAATATAATCACTTTCAAACCATTAGCAAATACGATCATAAAATTTGCTCCTTCTCGAAACCACCTGACTAATTTACATCAATTCTTTTTAAAAGTATGCAAAAATTCTCTGTCATTTTCCTTTGGTTCTCATTCTCTAATCAAATGCAATTACTATTTCAGGAATGCCTCTTATCGAAATTTTATACTCAAGCATTGCCAATACTGGAACAGGATATAACAGAAATTGAACATCAAGTGAGATCAATTGATTGCTTTGTAATAATCAAAAAAGAACGGTTGTTGGAGAGATTATTCTGACGCGTTTGTTCATTTTAGTTGATGGGTATCAATTATCTGGATCATCTTTTATATCATTATTATGGTGGAATGGTGTATATTGGTTTGAAAAATTATGATCGCGCTTTATATTTCTTTCGACTGGTAAGAGTGTCTCTATTTTTAAATAAGTTTACGAACTATATATATTCTTGCTAATAATGAAATCAAACAGGTTATATCAGCACCTGCTGTTGTGACGAGTGCCGTTCAGCTAGAAGCTTATAAAAAATATGTGTTAGTCTCTTTGTATTTGTATGGAAAGGTATTTATTATAATGGCGCTGTTTATTTTGAGAATTTGATCATTTTTCTTAAAAACCTATTACTGTTGTATAAAGATTATACCTTTACCAAAATACACTTCTGGGGTAGTAATACGCGCAGTGAAGAATTATTGTCAGCCTTACCAAGATTTCGCGGCTGCCTTTGAAAGTTTAAACGTGAAACGTGTACGTAATGAATTACAGAAATGTACTGATATTTTCAAAAAGGTATTTTTTTGCTCTGATTTAATTTGGCTATTATCCACCTTGCTATATGAATGATTCAAATACATTTTTATTAATAGGATAAGAATCTTGGACTTGCCAGACAATCCCTGGAAGCAATCTTTCGCCAAAAAATTCAACAACTCACTCAGACTTACTTGACATTATCATTGGCGGATATTGCAGATGCTGTCGGATTGGAAGGACCAAATGCATCTTCAATTGCTGAAGACTACATTTTACGGATGGTAAATTATTTCTATGGAGGAAATGACAGAATTCTAAAAATGGCGAGAAAAATTTATTCTCCTTTTTATTTCTTAGATTGAAACTCGTGAAATATTTGCCACAATTAGCCATTCACATCAAAATGGCATGGTTTCTTTCCAAGATAACCCTGACCGTTATAACACTTCTCTCACAATCACTAAAATCGAGGAACATATTGCACAAGCAGCTTCTGTAAATCAACGTGTGATAAAGACTGATCATTTGGTTGCTTGCAGTAAGGAATACCTATCAAAGGTAAGGAGCTTATATTCTTTAGTCATTTTAGCGTTACGTGACAACTTATTAAATTCTTGTCACGTTTGCAGCAACATTTGGCCCTAAGTGGTGGTATGCCGGGCGGATTGGGTTTAGCTGATGAGGCCGACTTCTTAGGCTCGGGTAATTACGAACCATTCATCGACGAAGGTCGATTTTTCGGATAACATAGGCATTGATGATTTTTTTACTATAAATTGCAAAGAGAAAAATGTACTGTGGCGAAATATCCTAGCCAATAAACTAGACACAATAGCAAGTATATATGGAAGATTAATGATGGATGCAATAAATTATTAAAAAATAAATCATTTTTGCTCAATCAATATTTTATATTTAAATTCATGTCAATTCTATAAAAATATCGTAACATAATTCTTTTGTTCAAGATAAAAAGTCATTCAAATCTTTTTCTTCTACAAGATTTTCCATAGGCCGTTCTTGTTCCGAAGTTGCGAGTGAAGAATTGTCATCAAAATCGACGTCACCCTAAATTGGTTCATTCAAAATTTAATGAATGAATCACGAAAATAAACGATATTAAATTTAGATCATACCCTAACCGACCCCGTTCCCGTTGTGTTGACTTAAAGCATTTGAAATGCAGAAGGTTAATTATAAAGCAAAGACTAAAGATAATTGAAAGATTCAATCTTACCTTCCATGCTTAAAAGGCTCATATTATCAGCTACACTTACGCGGTCATCATCTACGGAGGCAACTGATGATAAAACCTGCGAAGAAAGATGATTTGTTAAAATTTTGCTCCTTGAAAACTGAACAAGCAAAAATGAGAACACGCACATCATCTTCAAAGTCGCCATTCACACTTTTCCGTGCAATGCTACTAACCAGTCGATTTTGTAAAGGGGAGGATGGATTCGATGGCAATAATACTCCATCAGGGTATTTTTCTTTGACATCTACATTCAATACACAAAAAGTTGGTATTATTCTAAGTGAAATAATAGTATTATCATATTGTATTCTAAACTTACCTGCTATAATATCTTGTTCAAGACCATCTTTGGATTCCGGGTATGCTGTAGCAGGAACAAGACTATTTCTTGTCTTTTTTGAAAGTTCTTCGGCGATCAATGCCTATATGCAGAATTTGTCAACGAATATCTGAATAGAAGTCATTTATTTGCAATCAAAAAAATATCGCTTACATGTTTATAGTCAGGGAACAGATTTTCATAATCTGTGGGATCTGCCAAAGCTTCAGCTGCCTTCTTTTTATTTTGTTTATCAAGGCTTTCTCGCCACAGTTTCACGACTCGCGAAACCTGACTAAAATACAAATGCTTAAAATCCGCTAAATTGGTTTTTAAGAACCAGAAGACTCGATTTTTGGAACATAATGCAACTAACCTCGGAAGATAAGTTCTTGCAAACATTGCTGCCTCTGGGATTCGATCAGTCTTAATAAGAATATCAATACATTCCTCAATCATACCGAGGTGTAGGTAGCATGCAAATGAAATATTATTCTTGCCGTCGGAAGCTTTTTTCGTGCATTGAATACTTTATCATATATAAATGGAATTCGCGTCGCAAAAAAAAAAAAAACAATAAAAATGCAAATATACCAGCTGTTTCGGCCAACTCTTTTATCCCTTTGGCATTCCCTGAAGCGCTGTATAGCAAAAGTAGTCCACTTTGATCTTTAGCTTTTTTTAAGCATTCTTCTGCCAATGAGAACTAAATGATATGATGGAACATTTAAAATAGTACAAAAAATAAGTCATAATGCATATTGTGAATATACCTTCCACGAACTTAAGGCAGAATCACCAACTGCTTTCCATTTAACTTCTGAATTGACTTCTCTGGCAATTTCTACAGCTACATCCAATTTGTCAAGCTGTATTGCGAGCTCAAATTTGTGTTCAATATCAGTAGAGACTTGTAGCGCGAGTTCTTTCAATTCTAAAAATAAAAAAATAAATTTACATGATTTTCCAAGGTGTATGTATGTATCACAATTAAGCGACATGTTTTATTCCTCAAACCTTGACTTTCTAAAAATCGAGCAATGCGGTTGCGTTGATCATCAGCAACTGAGGGTAAAAGCTCTTCGGCTGCTTCAAGATCACCTCGCAAGATGGCAGTTTGATATTCGATCACTGTTAAGGACAGTGTATAACTATATACATTAACGTCCTATTATGAAACAAAGATAGAACATTATAAATATTTTCTGCCGAATTGGATTCTAAATCATTCAAGTAAATAATTCAAACCAACTTTATCGGCTAGATATATCCGGTTGTCTTTTGGAATATAGCCCAACAGATACATGTTTCTGGAAAATACCAATCAATTTTAATTTATTATCCTTAAGAGTATTGAACAACTTCATTGGCGATATAATACTAACGTGTCGAAATGACTAATTGTGAAAGTTTGTGCACCGACAAGATAATTCAAACGATTGACTGCGTTTGTGTATATGAAGCAATCACCGATCCATGTTCCCGTCTTGATGCTAAAGAAGAGTAAGCATATATTAACTTTCATTTTTATAGAATTACGAAGACCTTTTGTATGACAAACCTTTCAGGAATTTCAGTTACAAATTCGAAGGCTTGTTCGACTCCTTCTTCCCCTATTGTGCCTCCATTTTCTATAAACTGTACATAAGCTTGACGATTAAACCGCAAGACGTAAAAGGTCTCTTCGCAAGCTATAGTGACAAGATCGCCTGCATCACTCCAATATACCTATTATGGAAGATAAATTTTAAACTATGCAAACTTAAAGATAAGAATAAAAAGCTACCAATAAAAAACTCACAGATTTTGGTATAACATCAATCCTTCGTACAACTTGACCAGATTCCCAGTCATATAAATTAAGAAAACTGGAACTTTTTACACCTAAAAGAGTGCCTCCAAAAATCCCTTCAGCAGGGAAATTAAGCTTGATAGCATTTTGACGTTCTTTGAAATTTTTATAAAGTTTGACTTTGGTCATAGATTCTCGCACAGCATATCTTTGTTAATATGAAAGAAAGTCACTAAATTTGTTACAAGCATTAAACACAATACAAATTAAGTGAGAATAAAAGAATCTTACTCATTAGAATCTAACGCCCAGACAAATTCTAAACCATTTCCAAAGCCTTTATTTCTCCATGCTAAAGCCGTGTAGATGATATACTCACCATCGCCACATACTACGACAAATCTATAAAATGAAGTCATTTTAATAAATTATTATAATTTAATACCGATTAATTTTACATATACCGACCTTCCATTTGGACTATGTTGAAGTGTTTGTGGATAAACCTCACAGCTGCCTAAATCCTTTACAGGCAGTGGAAGACGTTCACCATCTTTAATATTATCATCTGGAGCCAATAAAAATAAAAACAGGTTTATAAGCACGTGCTTAATATTTAGAATGTCACAAATTAATAATCATATAAATATGAACCATGGCCAGCCTTCACATTTGCTGTCTGTATCTCATTATGCCTTGCCCAAATGATTTTTCCTGAATTGTCCATGCTTACAGCTGGTTCTTCTCGGCCCAACTAAAAAAAGAGGAAATGCTTAATTAAATCTTATTTAATTTATTTGGGAATTAAATACTTACCTTTACACAAACTGCACCCTCATCATACCCAAAAGCGACATTATTATTGCCTTTCTGATATGCAACAGTCCAAGCTCGTACTAATCCATAATTTAGAGTATTCTCTAACCTATAAGTATTTGAGTGCCATATTTTCACCGTACCATCCTCACTACCCGAAACTATGATCGGTAATTCAGGATGAAAACAAGCAAAAGCGGCATTTTGTGTATGTCCTTCTAAAGTTTGAACACAAGTTTTATTCTGATAATCCCAAATTTTGACTAGTTTATCGTCAGCCGCTGAAACAAGGTATGGCTTTTCACCGCCATGATAATAATCTACCCAGTTGACACCTTTATCATGACCCTCAAGTGTAAAGTTAGCTCCAGGAGAGCCAAGCGACCAAACTTTTATTGTACGATCCAAACACGCGGAAGCAAATGTATTGGAGTCTTTTGGATTGAAATTGATATTCATAACATAGTGTGTATGACCTTCAAATACCTGAATAAGTAAGTTTTAAAGATAAAAATTTGACGATTTTCTTTGATAAAATTAACAAGAAGTCACGGATTTATTTTACCTGGACACATTTCCATCCTTTCTCCCAATCCCATAATTTAATGGTCATATCATCCGATCCGGTTAGAATGAATGGTTGTGTTGGATGGACAGCAATACAGCGGATATAATCAGGATGGGCTTCAAAAGTAGCCACTTTTTCGTGTGTATTATAATTGAATACGCGTATTTGCATATCGTCAGAACCAGTAGTGAGCCAATTCTTGCGCGCAATAAATTTAGCAGCACGAACTAAATCATATATAAATATTTTAGTCAATGATGTATTAAGAATAGAATTAAGTTTATAACCAATACCTGGGACATCTGTAACCTCGAAAGTTTTTACTAAAGCCTAATGAAAAACCAATTAGATCAAATCAAATTTGATTTTTTCTCAATAAAAAATATTCACCTGAGTCTCGTAATTCCAAATGTACACATTCCCATTATATAAGCTTGCAAGCAGCCATGGTTCTGTGGGGTGAAAATCCACGCATTTCACGCGTTCAGAACGAGCAAAAAGTTTACGCTATAATAAAAATGAATCAAAAAAAATGGAATATTTCACCAAAAAAATATGCCTGATGGTGAAAACCGAAGCTACCTTAATTTCTAGTCGCATGACCTTAAGTATTTATAGGAAAGAATTTTAAATGCACAAAGTTAAGTCCAATTATCAAAGTTCTTATAATAATGAAGCTTTAAACGAAGAGACTAGACTTCTAAATCTCACCATCGTCACGAATATTTATAGCCAGGCGAGGTTTTTTGTTAACTATGATCGTCTATCAAAAAAAGTTCTAATGATTTCTACAATTTAGGCTTAAGGCATTATATACGACCAATCAGCTCTTTTAACATACTGGTTATTAATTAATCCAAAAATAGACGTGATGAATTTTTAAAATCTGAAATTACTTTCTATCACTTTCCATCGCTTTCTACTTTCGTCTTTACACATCATTTGAAGTAGTTCTTCAGTCACGACGAATACCTTGGATCAAGGTAAATTCTAAAACAAAGACGTTAAACAGATTTCGAGTTAGCTTACCCGATCGCATATTTGGTTTTCGAATAAATTACGCGACTAATAACGTGTGAACGTTCATTTACGCGAAAAGCTATAATAATCGACTAATTATTACAGTGAGTTTATCGATAAGAGATATTTTAAGTTATCATTACGAATAAAAATCCATTTTTGATTGTAAAGAACGCGATGTATGCGAGAAAGATATATAAAATCTAACGAAATTCTCATTTTCTTCGTTTTTTATTATTAGTAAAGATGGTTGACTACAGCACGATCGTTCAATATGATGACCTGTGTACAGATCTTTTATTAGATAAAGTAGAGTTATGGTATACGGTCAATAATTACGCGTACTACTTCGCTTTCTGCGAAAATTTCCACACAAATCTGAGAAATTACGTTTTGCAATTGGTTATTCTATATGAATGCAGGTTTAATACACACAAAATGGACTCTCAATATAAGCCTATTGATCCGAAAAGTGAATCCTCAAAAGACGCGTATAATACTGTCTTTCAGACACTCAGATTCATTATTGCTAATCCAGATAAAGGTGACGCTGCAGCTCAAATGCTTTCAAAGTAAGTATCTTTAACATAAATATACCGAAATTTTTAATGCTTAGATACTTTTATTTTTTCATTGATTATTAATATATTCAAAATATAGGTCAAAAGTTTTCCAAGAGAGACTACCTAGTCTCGATCTAAACACAAGAAGGCCATCCAAACAGGCTAGAGCCTTTTTCGAGTAGGTATTAGCACTAAAGAAATATTAAACATAATTTGATTGATTTAACTTGTAATTTCTTAATATCAGGCATTTAAAACGATATCTGAACATGTACCACCCAGATGCTGGTTTTGAATTGGGGGAAACATTGCGTTATGCTAATTCCAAAAAAGCAGAGGCATGTATCCTCGCGACTAAACATTGGATTAAAGGCGAGATTATACGATATTGTAATGGAATTCTGGTCGAGCTAACCAAGGAAGAGGAGTCAAAGTTGGACGATGAAAAAGATTTTTCTATAATCGCCTCAGAACGCAAAAAGAAAAGTTCTATTTATGTTGGACCTGGTCGCTTTGTTAATGTGAGATATCTATATCTCTTTCGTGATACATTATGATCATTCTTCGTCTAACAATTCTTTACCACTAGCATGATTGCGATCCGAACACCGAAGTAAGTCATCATTTGCTTGTTATCTTAGGTTTAGGGATTTTTCTAAATTTTCTTTTCTTTTATAATAGTTTTATATACAAGGATCACGGAATATTGTCTCTTTTCAAGTCTTAAAAGATATTGAAATAGGCGAAGAGATTACTTGTTCCTATGGAACAGATTATTTTGGAGATAACAACTGTGAATGCTTATGTCTGACTTGCGAAAGGTATTGGGATTAGTTTGATTTAAGACACATAATTTAAAATATTCTGAAATATTTTATTAATAAGTTTCAAGTTTATAGGCAAAAGATGGGTGCTTTTGCGGATAAAAAAGGCAAAGAGCCTGCACATCTGAATACTTTTGATGCCACTGACAATAATAATCCAGAGGAACTACAACCACAATCTCCGGAGATTGGCGTGCGTACAAGAGGATATCATAGAGGTAAATATTTTATACATTTATATTATAAATGATATTACAGAAGCTTACTAATTACCGTCTTGTTCTGTTTATTCAAGTACACTCTACTCAAAATGCGAAGCAACCAAAGAATATGTCGACTTCTGCTAGTTCATCGAAGACCCCAAATAGTCAATGTCAAGCAGCACCTTCATCAAAAAGGCAAGCTCCGATTGTGCAATCTCAAATTCCAAATTCTCCGAGACTTCAACAGTCGAAGTCACTGCAATCTATGTTAAAGCAACCTCCTTTAACACAATCTCGGTCTGAAGAATCAATGCAACGATGTAATAATAAGTCTGAACGGACACCAAATTTCAATGTTCATAATACGCGACCAACCAATTTGGCGCATATTAATTCTCAAAGTCGATCACAAAACGGATTTTCTACTCCGCGAATACAAATGCATTCAACTGGCTCTCAACACATCTTGAATCAATCTCAATTCAGTCATGAAAATATACGTCAAGGACGATTTCAGCAATCCAGTTCTTTACACTTATCTACTACGAATAATGTTCAGTCTAATCACGCCGTCAATCGAATGAGCTTTCCATGGTCAGTTTCTCAAACAGTACGTCCTGGACAAATTGTGACCACCGGATGTTCTTTTACTACTAGTTTTTGTGTGTCCACGACACCTGGTAACGCGCAGCCAATAATTATACCTCAACATGTACTGGAATATACAGCGATGCAAGCATCCAATATTCGAAAAAAAGCATCAAATCATCGGATGTCTGTTAATTATCTTATAAATAACGAAGATGTCGAAATAAATCATCCATCTAATCAAAATCAGCCATGTCAGAATAGAGGATGCAGTAATATAAATGTTCCGGATGATCGCATATGTTTCAGGTGTCGTCGACATTTTAAAATATTTCGGATTAACTGGCCTATGCGAGTTCTTTCAGAAGAACCAGATGAGCCCCCAATAATAAAAAAGGTATTTTATGAGTTCACATACACTGTAAATTATTATTTACCTTTTTTTATTGTTACAGCCTATGCTTTGCGCGCGCAAAAATCCACCAAAGCAAGATTTAGCAAATAAAACGGCACGCAAACCAATAAATAAAAGAAAGAGGAGAGTTGAGGTTGAAGAGGATAAAGAGGAATTGCCAGATGTGGTGATGGAAGATGTTTTGGAGGTGGAACCACTTGTAAAGGGAGAGGGGGATGTTGACGAGGAGAGGCCATTGAAAAGGAAAAGAGTGGAGAACGGCCTTGGCAGTGAGCTCCGATTTGCTAAAAATGCGACTGTGCGGCAGGCAGGTCGCTTTCTGAGCAAAAAGGAGCTCCGATTCATTAGTAACCGGATCAACAGATTAAGTTACTAATGAATCAACTGCTGGGGCTCGTAAGGAAGAATGTAGGCGTTGTGGGTAGGTGTGGTCGTCTTTCACTTCATTCATGTATATTGAACATTAAAATAAAAAATAAAACTAAAAAAATTATATATCATATTGACTTTCGGATAATTAAATTTATTCTTTTGAATGTATCATTTTTAACTTGAAGACAGTCATGTGTAATCGTAATTTCCCTAACATTAAGCTTCGATTTAAAGTTTAACCAGAATTATGATTAATCATCTATTTTAATGGTTCGAAAATCGTTTCCTAGTATTGCTTTTTTAATGGGGGAAACAATACTTTTTCTAGTGTTCCAAGACGACGAGAAAGATCATTTTGATTGGGCCAACCTTTGCCAAATATTGCCGCGTCCCATTTTCTTTCGTCTTCAAGTACTCCAAGCTTATTCAATAGTTGAGTCATCTTTTCCGGCATAATTGGTTGTAGTAATATTCCAATAATACGCATAGACTCTAATGCATAATACAAAACATTATTCAAGCGTTCCGCTTGACCAGGGTCTTTCACCAATATCCATGGTTGATTATCTGAAATATATTTATTGGCCTATCGAGAAAAATAATGAGTAAAACAAAATTCAATAATAGATTAATATTCGAAAAACAAATACCTCGGCCAACGTGTCAGAAATCAAATCAAGAGCTTTACGAAAGTGAAATTCCTTGTAGCACTGGTCAATAAGTTCTATAAGCGTATTAGAATAATCTATCGAAAGAAACTGCACTATAGATTTGTTTCTCTTAATATTTACCCGGCAATTCAATCAATTTTTGATGTAGAATTATATCTTCGCTAGTACTTTTGGCTGGTTTTTGGGGTATATGCTGCGATGGGTTAACGGCTGCAGAAGTGCAGCGTAATAGCAGATTGCCAAGTTGTCCTGCTAGTTCTTTACGATATCGTTCTTGTATCCAATCTTCTGAATAGTCTAAAATTTTTAAGAGTGACGAATATAAATAATATACTCCATATTTAAAAAAATAGAATATATTCGAATGATGTGTTACCGCCATCGTCAGATATGCCACCATCTCTCATTAAATAATATCGCATGGCATCAACACCATATAAATCTAAAACTTGAAATGGGTCTACTACATTCCCACGACTTTTGGACATTTTCTGTTTACCCATTGTCCAGTGTGAATGCGCCAATATCTTTCGTGGCAAAGGGATATTCGCAGCGATTAAGAATGCAGGCCAATACACAGCATGAAATCTAAATAAAAATTAATTAAATCCTAATCAGAAATTATCATTGTATCAATAAATTAAACGTAATTCTGGATGGATCAGAAACCTTAAAATGTCCTTGCCAACAATGTGAAGGTCTGCAGGCCAACCATTGGATAGCATAGTATCACGAGTATCATTTACCCAAGGAAATCCAGTCACAGTTAAATAGTTAATTAGAGCATCGAGCCAAACATATATTGTTTGCTCAGGGTCACCAGGCACAGAAATTCCCCAATCAACACGCGAACTAGCTCGAGAAATAGACAAGTCTGTCAATCCAGATTCTAACCATCCTTTAACCTCATTTATACGAAATTCTGGAACAATGACTATTATATAAGGAAATAATTTATTAGAGAATAATTGATATATGGGTAATTCAAAAGCGAAAACACACACCCGAAGGTTTTTCTTCAAGCCATTGTAAAAGTTTATCGCGTAATATTGACAAACGAAATTTATAATTTTCTTCTTTCATCCAAATTACTCGTTGTTCAGATTCAATTGATACCTTACAAGATCAATAATAAACTTTTTAAACTAGGTGACAGATAATTCACAAAATAGCAAAGATAATCGACTATTCTATACCATATAGTCTTCACCTGAACTTGGATCCGTAAATTTTTTGATTTGAGTCGCGGGATAAAAAGCCTCGTCAGATACAGAATACCACCCTTCATGTATATCTTTATACACATATTGACCAGCAATTAAACGATCCTAGAAAGTCTCCGCTAATTATGAATTCTATATAAAATGTCAAAATTATGCTTTGTGAGATTTTACGCACCCAAAAAACTTGAACAGCTTCCTTATGCCTTTCATCAGTTGTTCTAATAAACTTTGAATAACCTATGTTTGCTCTATTAAATAAATCCTTTTTTAAAAGGAAAGGATCTTCAAATTATCATAACATTGCTAAATACAATCAATTGCAAACATGTTTAAAAATGACCCGCCTTGAATCTCTGCGATACTTCATCACAAAATTCCTGGGGGCTCTTTAGATTTGTTGACGCAGCTTGTTGTATCTATGATTGATTATCAATGTCATTCTAAAAATTAATTTATTTACATAGTCTATTATCTAACATTTAGAGTCAAACCTTCAAACCATGTTCATCAGTCCCAGTACTTAGTATAACATTATGCCCTTTTAATTCGTGATATCTTTTAATACTATCAGCTAATACAACTGAATATAAATGACCAATATGTGGTTCTATTTTAATATAAGTCGAGATGTTAAATAAGTTTTGACATATAACAAAATACTATATATACAGTTTGCATACTGGCGTTGACATAAAAAATAGGTGTACTAATGTATATGGGCTTCTCAGGCAATTTAGCTGTAAAATTTCGTGTTTGCCTAATCAAATAATTAAACTGAGACTTATTAACTACTAGACTCTCAGCAGTTTTTCGGGTTATTATCGTATAAAGTGAAATGTGAAGTTTTTTGATACCCATATTGAATAAATCCTTCAAAAAATTTGGCGCGTTTCAAATTTATTGAAATTAACCAATCAAATAATCTTGGAAACAACATATGAGAGAATACATCAATAATACAAAAATAAGACATCAATTTCAAAGCATTTCGATCACTAAAAGCACAGAAACCTAGCGCTAGTATTATTGAACCAGAAAAAAGTTGACTTTAAAGGGTTATGACTATATTGGAGGTCAAATTCATAATAGCTGGTACCGAAGGTATGACTGTATTAATGTATGACAACCAAAAGAAATCGATTTATTATGAAAACCCATCTTCGTTTTCATTGGATGAATAACTTACAAGTATAGACAAGCATTACCCATATATAGTAATGGAAATCCGACCATTCAACACATGACCACGTGATCTGCTGGCCGGTGACACATTTTCCGCGTGTTTAAAAAATAAACTAAGCAAAAATTCAAATACAGGTGATTTCAATCTTTAAGTGTCGTAAACTGTAAAGATAATGTCAGGAACTAAGAAATTCACTCTCAAGGAAATCGCTTCACATAAAACCAGGCAATCTTTGTATGTAACTATCCACGGAAAAGTCTATGACGTGACAAAGTTCATAGATGAGGTCTGTTAAGAATAATATCTCAAGAAATTGTGCTCAGAAAGATCAAATTTTAATGTTAATTTACGCATTAATAATAATAATAATAATAATAATCGAATAGCATCCTGGCGGAGAGGAAGTAATACTCGAGGAAGCTGGCAAAGATGCCACTGGTGCTTTTGATGACGTAGGACACTCGGACGAAGCACATGAAATATTGAAGGGATTTTATATTGGTGATTTGAAGGATGTGAGTGTGAAGAATTAAACTATATTAAAGATAATGATGTTAGTGGTTATATAAACATTACAAAAAAATATTACAGGAATTAAATATATGATATATGCAACACGAAATATAGAAATTCATAGGTTACTTATTATCAGTGTTAATTTAAAGTTCTTTAGTTGAAGTAATACATTCAAAAATATATGTATTTATATACGATTTTAATTTTGAATATCTCATAACATATAATAAAAGGCACCACCATCAATGACACCAAAGCAACATCCAACTCCTACTACTCCTAAAGCACCTCAAGCGGAATCAAGCAGGTAATTTAAATCTCAATAATTTTTTTGTAACAAATAACTGATATTTATATATTTACTTTTTTATGGCAGCAATTTTGGATTATTTGTGCCGATCGGAGTTATTATTGCTTACGTTGCCTACAAATATTTCGTTTCAACTGCAGAATAAGTATTAATCTTTATGTTTATTTATCATTCAATTATTATAATTTCTTTATTTAAAATAATAGGCTTTTTCTTTCTTGACTATTAGTTTGATCCTTTTTTGATTGAATTCTTATTTGTTTATGCAATCTAAGTTGTATTTTATTACTGTTTCTTAATTATTTTATAAGAGGTCGAGTTTTTCGATCACGTGAGAAGAATGTAACGTATAATAAACTTTTAGTTCTAGCGTACCTTCTTTTACACATCAACAAAGGGTTACTTTATAATTAACATTCGAACTTGGAGTTTTTCTGTCGACTTCCAGATCTGGATTTACTATCTATTATAATCGAATCATATTATTATTTCTTTTTGCGCAAGATTTATTATAAAGAAATTTTTATAAAATATGATTATAAGAGAGTGGTTAGAGGAAGTTATCTAAATTTTGAATTTCATCAAAATAAATATTTCTCACTTTGAATTTTAACCAAGTAATTATTTTCTCGTATATTGATTAAATTTTGAATAATTTATATTTATAAACAGTGGCTAACAGGATTATAGAATCACGCGTGTGATTTTATTAATAAACATAGTAAAAATTGAAAGTTTATCTTATATAAAAGTTTTCAATTTTATTAATAAATATTTTTTATTTTTATATCAACATAAAGATCATAACTTATATATTTTTTCTGGGTTTTTTAGATTTTTTTCTGAAAAAGTTGTTCTAATTGCAAAATTATTGCAAAAAAATTTTTATAATTAAAATAACTGTATCAAATTGAAAAATTCAGAAAAAATACATATTAAAATATAAATTATAATTACTAAAATTGAAAACTTTTATACAGAACAAAAATTCTCAATTTTTATTATATTTTATTAATAAATTACATATAATTTTATAATTTGTTAGTTATTATAAATATTTAGTTATTATTTTATTAATTAAATTTAATTATATTTTATTAAATTTTAAATAATATAATATTATTAATATAGCTAATAAATATAATAAGTAAGTTTAATAAATAAATATAAATATAACAAGTAAATAAATATAATAAATAAAAATAATATTTAGTATAATTAATTAAAATATATATTATTATTGTTTTTATTGGTTTATTATCTTTCAAATATAGATCACGTATTCTTCATGTATTCCAATCAGATGAGAGAGTTATTAAAGATTTTTATGTGTTTAAGATAATTAAAATTGGGAGAGACTAATTTAATAAAAGTAGATAATAACATGTTCATTTTGTTAAATTGTTAGAATGAGTTCAAAAATCTTTTTTTTAATTTAATTGATTTTAATTATTAAGTAATCTTTTTTTATTAATTAACTTTTAATAAAATTATCTTTTTCTTTTATTATAAATCTAAATAATATTAATTAACTTCGCAAAGTAATGACAAGAGGTTAATTATATTATTATAAATGATATCACTTGTTACAGATAAGAGATCTTTTAAATATAAAAGAATACAAATAAGAAAAAAAAGAGATAATTAATACTTGACTAAAAAACTTTAACTCAAGACTTCATTTTTAAAAAGATTTTGTTAAAAGAAAATTAAAGTGAATAAGAAGATTTAAAAGTAAATAATTATAAAAGTATAAAAAGATTCTTTTTTTAAGCTAAAATATATATTATATTTATACAAATTATTATTACTCAATCTTCAAATATTAAAGTTATTTTTAATTGATATTATGATTACAATTACAAAAAGCACTCACTTAATAATTATATATCACTCTAATATTATATAAATTTTATTATTAATATTAATTAAATTTGATTATGTAGATCAATTAATATGTGTTTTTCTTACTAATAATAATAATATAAATTAAATATAATTAGTATGAATTATAATTAATGTAAAATGAAATAATATAGAAATAATATAAAAATAGAATAAAATAATATGAAATAAAATAATAATAGAATGAGATAATATAAAATAAAATGATAATAGTATAAAATAGAATGAAATATAATAAAAATAGTATGAGTAAAATATGGATAATATAAAATAAATATAAATATGATTTACAAATTATATGTAAATTAATTATTCAATCAAATTAAATTATGAAAAGTCATATGATATATCAAAATTCATATCATTTAAATTATAACTTATATATTTATTTTTAACTAATATTAATTTATTTTTTTTTTAATTTTAATTATTATTTTTAGTAATAAAATAATTATTACTAATTTAACAAGTAAAATAATATATATTTATCTATTATAAATAGTTAATTTATTAATTAAAATTAAAATTTTTATTTTTTTTAATAATAATTTTTTATTTTATACTTTATAATATAAAGCTCTATTAAATATTATTTATATATATATTATAATATATAATATATAATTATATTATTTATTATAATTTTTAATTTAGAAAATATTTAACAAGTTATTAAAATATAATAACTTTTAATTTAAAAATATTCAAACAAATTATTAATATTTAATAAAGAAATAAATTATTATATTAAATTTTAATAAATTATAATATAAATATTTTATTATTTATTTTTAAATTAATATTTATTATATAAAGTTAATAGTTATAGTTAATAAAAAATATTATAAATTATATATTTATTCTAAGTAAAATTCAAAATATATCAAAATAATATATAATAACTAATAAAATTATAAAATATATATTATTTTATTAATAAAATATATATAGTGAAAATTAAATTATTGTTTTATATTTTTGTCTTATATAAAAGTTTTTAATTTTATTAATAAATATTTTTATTTTTATATTAAAACAAAAATTATAAGTTATAGTTAACATATATTTTTTCTAAATTTTTTTAGCAAAGTTATTTTAATTATAAAGTTATTGCAAAAATTTTTATAATTAATTTTACATTTTAATTATAAAAAATTTTTGCGATAACTTTGTAATTAGAATAACTTTGTTAGAAAAAATCAAGAAAAAATATATATTAAACTATAACTTATAATTTTTGTTTTAATATAAAAATAAAAAATATTTATTAATAAAATTAAAAACTTTTATATAAGACAAAAATTTCAATTTTTACTATATTTTATTAATAAAATCACATATATAATTCTATAATTCTGTTAATTATTATATAATTTGTTAATTATTATATTTTTTTAATCACAAAATAAATACAAAATTTTTATTAATTAAAATATAATAAAAATTTTATACTTATTTTGCAATTAGAATATTTCTTTGAATTAAATACAAAAATCTGAAAAAATATATATATTAAAATATAAATTATAATTTTTATTTTGATATAAAAATTTTATTATATTTTAATAATAAATTTTAAAAAAAATATATTATTTTTTTATAAGTTATTATATATCAATTTTTAATTAAATTAAAATATAAGTTTAATTAGTAAATCAATTTGTTAAAAATTATCAAAATCAAAAAATTTTCAATAATACTATTATAATATGAATTTTTATTATATATTTATTGAACAAAATAACATAATTTAATATTTATTTTTATTAAATAGTTTATATTATTAAATAATATTTTATTATATTTTTATTAAATAATAACTAAAATATTCTATTGAATATTATTTTTAGAAAATAATATTAATAATAAAGAAAAATAACATTAATAACAAGCAATATCAATATTAATAAAAAGCTAAATTAGCAATATTAGTATTAATATTAATATAATAACAAGTAATATTAGCAATTTTAGCAAACAATAATAGCAATTGTATTACTAGAAAATAATATAAAGTATTATGTATCTTGACAAATTTCTTGAATAGATTTCTTAGAATTTTAAATAGTATATTTATTTTTTAATAACTTATTTATTTGATTGAAATATAATTATATTTACTTTTGAAGGTATAAGAAGATTTCTGAGTTCATTTTAGCTGCTCACAAAATAAATATACATTATTTATCTTTAGTATTTTAGTTATAAAATATTATTATCTCTCCCATCTGACTTGAATCATGTAAATAACACATTTTATATTTAAATTATTATAAAACATACCAAAATGGTAACAATATTTCATAGAATTACTTATTAAGTTTACTTATAACTGTTTTAATAAAATTAGCTAACTGTAATTATCTTGTTATTCATGTAAAGATGATCAGTATATATTTTATAATAGAAAACGGGATTATATTTTTTCATATTTCAGGAAATCTAACATTCTTTATTGAAATAAATATTGAAAGTAATGATATAAATAATAAACTATATTGTTTATTTATTTGGAAATAAAAGGTTTAAAAATAACGAAGCAGCGAAAGAACGCACAAGTTAACGAAATAATGAGGTAATGAATAATAGATGTACATATCTAATAAAATTCGCAAAATACGCAAAGAAATTTAGAAATATTTTATATTATGTAATTCTATGTTTTATATAGAGAATAAATTGTAAATGGAGAAATTTGCCCAACACATTTTAGCATTCAATTATATTATACAAAATTTAAATAAAAGTTGTTATATAACGAATTGTCAAAAATGACATTTGATAAATCATAAGAGTGAATATTAGTGCTGAATGAGTTTGGCGTTGAAGAAATATTAATTATGAAACTTTCATTATCTGTATTTTTATTAAGTTGTTATTTTCAGTGAGTTCAAATAAAATAGGAAATTGATTATCCAATTCATTGAACGCGTAGCGGTAGTATAGTCTTGATGATAATGACTGTCGTAAAGTTGTTAGCATAGTCTTGATGGTTATAAACGGCTGTTGAAATTGCTGACGTTGAAGATGGAAGCCTATGTATTGTTTCTTCAGAGTCAAAGATAGTGACTCGTCGATTTGTGTTGCTTCTTGAAGTGAACTGAAAGATATTGTACTAGACTTAGCTGGCAAAGTAGATGCATGTTTTTTCTGTTCTCGAAAAATAAATTGTTTATAGCTTGAATTTTTTGGTTCATATGTATTTGTAATTAGGATATATACGCTTATGATTCTCACAAGCTATTTTCGCCAATATTTTGAAAAATACTTGACATTACTTGATTGCAATTTCCACTTTGAGCTACATTCCTTTGCTGTATTTTTAACTTTTGTTTAACATCAGGGCTACGTATATTAGCTTCGAAATATAATCCAACTGTTTTATGGTCGTGGCGATTTATCACAAGTATTGCGTTTTTTTTTTTCGGCAGGCATTGTTAATTCTTCAATTGTGAGAGTTAGTGTAAGGACACTTTTCAGAAGCTTTCTTTCAGTTTCTGATAAATATTCGATATTGTTCATTTTTATTTGGGGGGTTTTTTTTGAAAATAAGAAAGATTGAGATTATACTCTTTTGACTAGCAATTTGAAAATAATTCGACTGTGTGAGTATGATATTATATTTATTAGATGAGAAAAAAGTATACTAGTTACAATACCGTGCTCGGGAGGTTATTATATCCAATACAGTAACAATATATATATATATATTAGAAATTAGGACCGTAAAGAGTGCTACTGTAACCAGAGTTGATTGTACTTAAAACATGAGCACTATTTATTTATACAACTTACGTTTTTCACTATCGCTATAGGTTATTTATACAACTTACGTTTTTCACTATCGCTATAGGTTTACGTATTAAGTATTAGGTTAACGATGGAGATTTTACTCGGAGACATTATCGTAGAGCACTGACTCTAGTATCCCCCTATATAATAACCCATATCAGTGTTGTCTAGTACCCTAGCCACGAAAAAAAAGCGTCTTTCACGTGCTGCTAGAAAAGTGCCCTTCACGTGCTGCTGGTGGCACAAACGGGAAATAGATGCCTAAAATGTTGGGAAGACAATTTTACATATCGATATAATCTCGGCACCAGCTCTAATCATAACCTAATCCTACGACTCTACCAGGAGGCACTACACTTTTACAGATCCGGAAAATCCGACCCATACTACCGATGATCATCATCGGTCGGAATTGTATAATTACACATTAATATTAATAACGATATAATAACGGTAAACTTTATTTTGCTTTTTGTTCTTTTTGTGATATTTCTGTTTCCTTTGTTCTACATATTTATCTTTAGTTAGTCGTCGCCAACATTGCTGTTTCGTCTCTCTTCTCGTTTAGCGTTATTCTCAATTATTATTCATTTTTCTTTATATTTTCTCTAGGTCATGGTTATTGACTTCTGTATTTTTATTTTGTAGGTGGTTTTTATTTTTCAGTTTTTTTTGTTCTTTTTTATTTTTGCTTGCACACAATGTTGAGCCAAAGGCAACCAACGCAAGCAACGTGAATACCAAAGGCAACCAACGTGGACACCAAAGGTAACCAAGGCAACCAACGTGGACACCAAAGACAATCAACGCAAGCAACGTGAATGCCAAATGTAACCAACGCAAGCAACGTGAATGCCAAAGGCAACCAACGTGGACACCAAAGGCAACCAACGTGAACACCAAAGGTAATCAACGCAAGCAACGTGAATACCAAAGGCAACCAACGTGAACACCAACATGGACACCAAAGGCAAGCAAACGTGAATACCAAAGGCAACCAATGTGAATACCAAAGGCAATCAAGGTAACCAACATAGACATCAAAGACAACCAACGCAAGCAATGTGGATGCCAAAGCAAACGTGGATACCAAAGGCAACCAACGCAAGCAATGTGGATGCCAAAGCAAACGTGAATACCAAAGGTAACCAACACAAATAATGTGGATGCCAAAGGCAAACAAACGTGAATACCAAAGGCAACCAATGTGAATGCCAAAGGCAATCAACGTGGACACCAAAGATAACCAATGTGGACACCAAAGGCAATCAAGGCAACCAATATAGATGCCAAACATCAGCAAATTTCTAATACGGTTGGAAATCGATTGCCAACCATATTCATTGGCAATCGATTACCAATATCCCCACCGATTATTATCGATTGTTGATCAATCGATAATAATCAGTTTTTTTATTATCGTTTACAAACGATAGCAATC